TGACAACGACCCCAGCCTGGTGACGGGGGGAATTTCCCTGGCTCGGGCCCTGTCCGGGCTGCGGTTCAGACTCGCCCTGGCAGCGCAGCCCAGCTGCGGGGCTCCCGAGTGTTGGGTCAGTGGCCCAGGGCCGGGCTCTGCCCGCGCGTCACTGGGGTGCGGGGCTGGGATGGAGCCTGGTGCAGAAAAGGGATGGACTAATGTAGTTGATTAACTGAGAAGCAAAAGCTTATAGTTAATGCAACAGGCTACAGGCATTTCCCTCCCCAAAACATTTTTTAGCAGTCTGACCTGCTGCGCTGCTCAGTTCTGGCTTGCGAGGGCTGTGCTATGGCTCTGCATTTAAAGTGTATTAGGAGCCAGGTTGGCTTAGTTTTGGCTTGTGCTGATTTGAGAAGCTCAGATCCCATCCTAGACAGAGGCTACTGCCACCTCATGCTGAGGCCTCTTTATTAGAGGTTTTGCCCTGGGACCCATGTTCTCTGGCCCATGAGGGGAGTTGAGTATTAAACTGGTTCCCCTTGTGAACCTTCTGACACGCTTTTACTGGTCCTGCCCACAGGGACTATAGAATATTTGAATAACTGATAAGAATTCATGAGGTTTCTTGACTGTTCAATTAACTGATATTTAACATCCCTAGAAAAGGAAGTTCCAGGCAGGTAATTGTAGGGCGGGGGGAGGGGGGGAATGGGTCCAGGAGGGAGTGTAGGTGAAGGAGGGCTGTGACCTGGAGGGTTGTGCGGGATGGAGTTCAAGGTCCAGCAGTGAGTATGGAGATGGGTTTAGGGGAGGATTCTGACATGGAGGAGGAGGAGAGGGAGCAGAGGGTTTGGGGGGATGGAGGGTCTGGAGTGCTAGGTCTGGCTGGGAGCCTGCTACGTAAGCAGCCCAGCAGCACCCTAGGTTTTGGGTTGTGACCTGAGGCAGGGCTGCAGGAACCCTGGCCAAGTCTCTGGACCACAAGTCGGTGGTGGTGGTGGTGGTGGCGGCAAACTGGATCTGGGAGTTTCGAAGGCTGGATCCACCATGCAGGCCACATTTTGTCCTCCCAATCTAGATAAGGCTTGCAGTGCACAGAGGATAAAGCACCCTCTGAGTGGCATTCAGGAGTGCAGAAGGCAGGAAGCCTGCCCGAGGCTCTTTTTGGTCTGCAAGCAGTAGTGGTAGCAGGTCAGATCCGGCCCATGGGCTGCATTTTGTACACCCCCCTCCCCCCCCCAGCCCGGTCCAGATAATACTTAGTTCAGTCTTGCGCGCAGGGGCCTGCACTAGACATGTGAATGTTTAATTGTACACAGGTAACTGAGGAGCTTGGGATCATTGGTTAACCTTCACAGCTGCACACAGACTCCAGGTATGTGCTATTAATTTTAACCCACCTCCCCACACACCCACATGTAACTAGGTAGCTGCTGCATTTTCAGCAGTTAAAATGTGCTTGCTTAAATAATTGTGTAACATCCTTAGCCTGGCCTGTCTCTTGCTGGCAAAAAAGACTACATGGGAGATCTTACTATGACACAACTCTGCTGCTGTAAGGTCTGAAGTCTAGAATCAACCTGGCTAGGGATGTTAAATATTGATTAATTGAATAGTCAAGTAATCTCATTAATTCTTATTGAGAACCACCAGTGTGCTCTGGACCCACTCCCAAGGACCCCCCCTGCTACTCCATGCTGCTGTCTCTGAGGCAGCAGCGTAGGGTGCCAAGCGGGAGCTGGTCTGAGAGGGGAGCAAGTTTAAAAAGCAGCCTCCCTTGTGGACTGGCTGCCTGTCACCCCAATGCTGCTGCCTCTGATACAGAGACAGCAGTGGGCGGTGGCAGCAGCTCATGTTTGGAGGGGGTCTGAACTCCCAGATCCGGAGCGAGTCAGAACTCAGCTGGGCTTCCTGCCTGCCTAGTTCCTAATATACAGCCAGTTTCTGACTTGCGTCAATCGAACTTACGTCGGATCCATAGTTACGAACGGAGGTCCTCACTGCTGCACGGCGTGGCAACGCTGACTTCGCTTTGGCCGGCAGCGTGGCTACGCAAACAACGCTGCAGCATCCATGGCTAGTATAACTGCGCAGCAGCGAGGGCCTCCGTTCGTCACTACGGATCCAACGTAAGCGTAGTTAGCATAGCCACGCTTCCGGCCACAGGCTGCTACGTACGCTGGCTGACAGCCTACCTCCCGCTGGCATATGTATATACAGTAATCTCCCTACCTCCCGCTGGCTGACAGCCCAGGTTCACGCCGCAGTGGGAGATCACTGCTGCAGAGCTCCTGCTCGCTCCTTCAAGCTATCAGGACCAGCTCTACACTGCCACCAGCCCTCACCTGGCTCAAGACCCGGTCACGCCCATAAAGGTGACACCCCCCCCCCACCATCACTGGGTAGCCCGACTCCTCACCACGTGCCCCAAGCCTCCACAGGCACCATCTTAGGCGTGTAACTCCACTGCCTCTTCTATTGTGAAGGTCCTGCACCTGACAATCGGCCCAGCTGGACTTCAAAACAAAGGTGCCTTGGGCTCGGCGTCCCGCTGACCAGAATCTGTATACATACTGTACAGAGTTTTTTGCACCCTGCAACAATGCCTCCAAAACACAAATCTGATGCAAGTGCTGGTGATACAGCAAAGAAAAGAAAAACCATCACCATGGAAGATAAAGTAGAAATAATAAAGAGATCAGAGAGGTGAAAATCCATCATCCATTGGAAGAGCATATGGTTACAGTTGGTCAACAATCGCAACAATTTTAAAAGATAAAGGTAGAATAATGGAGCATGTGAAAGGCCATACCCCAATGAATGCTACAATTATTACCGTTCCCCAAGCCTCCACAGGCACTATCTTAGGCGTGTAACTCTACTGCTTCTTTTATTGTGAAGGTCCTGCACCTGACAATCGGCCCAGCCGGACTTCAAAACAAAGGTGCCTTGGGCCCGGCGTCCCGCTGACCAGAACCTGTGTACATACTGTACAGTGTTTTTTGCACCCTGCAACAATGCCTCCAAAACACAAATCTGATGCAAGTGCTGGTGAGACAGCAAAGAAAAGAAAAACCATCACCATGGAAGAAAAAGTAGAAATAATAAAGAGATCAGAGAGAGGTGAAAAACCATCATCCATTGGCAGAGCATGTGGTTACAGTCGGTCAACAATCGCAACAATTTTAAAAGATAAAGATAGAGTAATGGAGCATGTGAAAGGCCATACCCCAATGAATGCTACGATTATTACCAAGCAACGCAGTGGTTTAATTATCGAGATGGAAAGGCTGCTGACAATTTGGATAGAAGACCAAAATCAGCGTAATCTACCTATCAGTCTTTCTTTAGTGCAGGAAAAGGCTCGAAGCCTTTTCAATGATTTAAAAGCTACTCGTACAGCAAGTAAAGGTGATTGCAATGAAGAATTTGTTGCAAGTAAGGGTTGGTTCAATCGCTTTAAAAAAAGAACAAATTTGCATAATATTAAAGTTCAAGGTGAAGCAGCGAGTGCCGATGTCAGTGCTGCAAGTTCTTTTCCCAAGATATTGGAAGATATTATTGACGATGGAGGCTATTTGCCAGAACAAATCTTTAATGTAGACGAAACTGGCTTGTTTTGGAAAAAAATGCCTGAGAGGACATACATTTCGAAAGAGGAAAAAAGTGCACCAGGACATAAGGCATCAAAGGACAGGCTGACTTTATTACTTGGGGGTAATGCATCTGGGGATTTAAAGCTGAAACCTTTGCTAGTGCATCGCTCCCTAAATCTGAGGGCACTACGCAATGTCACTAAGGCATCTCTTCCTGTTATCTGGAGGGCAAATTCAAAGGCTTGGATTACACTTGCTATGTTTGAAGAATGGTTTTCGAACCATTTTGTCCCTGCTGTTGAACGTTATTGCTTGGGCAAAAACATTCCTTTCAAAATTCTCCTTCTCCTTGACAATGCCCCTGGACATCCAAACACTTTAGATGACATGCACCCCAATGTAAAGGTGGTATTTCTACCCCCCAACACCACATCACTAATTCAGCCAATGGATCAGGGAGTCATAGCCTCCTTTAAGGCCTATTATTTAAGGAGGACATTCTCACAAGCTGTCAGGGCTACCCAAAAGGATGAGATGACAAGAGAGTTAGCTGATGCTTTTTATTTTATTGAAGCGGGAATGGCAAAGTTAGAGGAGCAAGATCCTGATACAGAGAGGTTTGAAAAAGTTTACCGTACAGTTACCGAAGGTCTGAGATGCTATGGGGCTATTTATGATGAGGAAAAAAAAAGCTTTGTCTGCACAAAATGATTCAGAAACACCAAAATGCTTCAGTTTGTCACTTCAGCATTCAGCAGTGCCTGTCTTTGGGTGCTGCAGTTTCTTATAGGAGCCATTGTGCTTTTAAATCCACATGCAGAGACAAATCATCTGGAAAATTGGTATTCTGCAATGAAGCTAGAGTACAGTGTGTAGTGCAAACTTGGGGGCACTTTGCAAAGGGGTTCCCAAAACACCTTGTGTCCTCTTACGCAGACACACACACACACAAGCTGCTTATAACATTTTCAATATCTTTTAAAGATTTGATGCAGGGTTATGGAAAAAATACGGCTCTGTCCTTCGTTACCTGAATATCACTGGATTACTCCTGAGCTCAGCTACTAAAGGGTATCAATGACCAGTTTAGAAATATTTCAGAAGGGTGCACTGCAAAAGCTCTTCACCTCTGCTTACAAAGAGGTCACATCTCTGAAGGCTATTATTTCATCAGTAGTGCTGCTATAAATATAGCCCATAGGGCTAGCTTGCCTTTCTTATATTCTGCCTTTCTTACATTCAGCAGTAATGGAGGGAACCTGCAGGCCTTTCTCCTGAAAGACATTGGCTTCTGGCTTGAGGCCTATGAACTTTGCCAAAAATAAATGGCCCAATAGTAACCGCCAGCTGGAAATAGAATGTGTAGAGAGGGGGAATTTTGTTCATAATAACACTGGCCACCCACAGGACCATAAGCTGACATGAACATCCACAAATGATTGATCACAACGGTGCCATGGCAATGAATTAGCATATATGATAAGTTGAGGTCATCAGTATCCTGTTGAGATCACCTTAGAATTAGAATGAGGCATAAGTGCTGACTCTGTGGGTACTCCAGGGCTTAGCATCCCCTGGCAGTTGGCTCCCTGCCCTTCCCCCAAAGTGTCTCCTGCCCAATGTGATCAGCTTTATCTTCCCTGGAGCACAGACCACAAAGTATATGGAAATTGCCTCCTCCATCAATGTGGAGGAACAGGGGCAGATGAGGATTTTGCAGGGCCCAGGGCAGCACAATTTTGCAGGGCCCCCCCTTTGACACGGCGCATGTGCCCTGCCCTATATCCGCCACTGTGGAGGAAGGTACACACGGTTTTCACACACTCTCGTTAGAGATTACATAACCTGGATTATATTACAAATAAGAAATAAATGTATTAACTAAAAAAGGTGTATTTTAAGTGGTTAAAGAGATAGCAAACAGAACAAAGCAGATTATTAAGAAATAATACAAAGCTTGAAAACTAAGCTAGATTGACTAAATAAACCAGTTACAAATAAATAATAATTCCTCACTCTAGATATTGTTTTAGGTAGAGTCCTTCACAGGCAAGCGACATCTTTCTAGCCTGGGTCCAATACTCCCTGCCTTCTCTAGTTCAAGACCTTTTGTTTCCAGATGTTTTCAAAGGTTTTATTTTTGTATTTGTTAATTGTTGTGGGGAGGCAGAGGAAAAGCACATTGAAGACCTTAATTGTTTTCCTCCCCTGCCTTATATGGAATTTTCATAAGGTGGAAATTCTTTGTTTGATTCTCCTACCTCATAATGGAACAGTCTAGCAAATCAAGATGCAGGTTAGTATCAGGTGACCAGGTCACCTGACTCTGTAGCATCAGAACATCTATGAGTCATTGGCAGTATGGGGTGCTCACAGGAAGGCCAGGCCTTTCCACAGTTTGTTGTCCTCACTAATGGGCTGTCTGCCCTGTCTGACTTTCCACTATAGTACCTGAAGTGTTAGCAGGAGACATCACACAAAGTAGCATAGGTTGTCCAGCACTCTTGTCTGGCAACATCCATGGTCTGGCATGATTTTAGTTAGCTGGATGTCCACTCACCATGAGTGTGGCCAATTTTCCCATGGACCCATAAAAATTGTTTATAGCCATCAGCCTGGCTCTTAGTGTTCTTAGCTGTTATTTAGCTCTAATGGACCCCTCAGTGTCTTCTAACAGCCCAGTCAGCAGTGGAAGTGTTGGTAATGCTACTAGAAAATATTGACCTCCTGTAGTCTGGCAAATTCTCTAGTTTGGCACCAGTGAGGTTCTGAGAGTGCCGGACTAGAGAGGTTCAACCTGCACTAGTAATTAAAATGTCAGAGTTGCATGTAATTATGGGGACATGGGGAGGTCAGACAGTAGGGTTCAAAAATGATTAAGTCAAAACATACAAAGTAAATATACACAAGTCAAACTCTGACAAGTCCTCAAGCAACATTTTTCTTACATTCCCTTTCTGTATGTTTTGATTATTATTGATTGAACTATTTTTGTCAGTTTGTGTGTGTACTTTGAAATTGACATTTACCAACATTTATAATTAAAAATTAGGGCTATCAATTAATCATAGTTAAGTAATTAACTAAAAAATGAATCATGATTTTAAAAGTCAATCACAATTAACTGCAGTTTAACCATACTGTTAAACAATAAAATACCAACTGAAATGTATTAAGTACTAGAAGATTTACCTGGGATTGCTTGGGTTCTTCAGGACTAGGTGTGTGGGTGCAGGAGTTAGGGCAGGGGGTTGGGAGGTGTGGGAAGGGACTCAGGGTAGTGTGTGGGGATGCAGGAGTTAGGGCAAGAGGCTCAGAGGGGTTGGGTGATTGGAGGGTGGTGAAGCACTGGAACAGGTTGCCAAGGGAGGTGGTAGAACTCCATCCCTAGAGGTAAGTCCCATCTTGACAAAGCTCTGGCTGGGATGATTTAGTTGGGGTTGGTCCTGCTTTGGGCAGGGGGTTGGTCTCCATAACCTTCTGACATCTCTTCTAGTCCTAGGATTCTATGTTTGTTTCATGGCTGGGGCTAGCAAGTTTGTACCTGTAGATGCTGTGTTTCTAATTGTGCTGGGAAAAGGAGTTCATGTCCCCTTGGGATCTTACAATGCACACAGAACCTTGAAACCCTGGCAGCATTGGGACTGTCTGAGGAAGGGAGGAATGTCTGCTCACTGTGAGCCTTCTGCCACACCAGGGCAATGTTTTCTCTGTCATGAGTGTATGACTGGACCGAAGGCATAGTCGGCTTAGCTACTCAGTACACTCCTTTTAAATGATCAAGTGTTTGTAAATATGTAAGTTTGACTCGAAATTTCAACACATTATATTATTATAATAACTACATCGTTCTTGTGTGGATTGTGCCCCATACGTTACTGAAACATTCTTTAATGTGATGTTTGGTGTGGAATTCCTCTGTGTCTGAGGAATCATTTCAGAGACACGCAGCAAATGAACATGGAACATTTCCGGTCCACACTCAAATATTGGTGTAAATGGTAAATGACAAGATGATGTTTCTAAATGACTGTGCTAAAAGGAGCATCCAGATTCACCAAGCCCCTTCCTGTTCATTTCTGATTAGGCATTTGTTCTGTGGGAAGGGATGAAGCCATGAAATCATTTCTGCAGTGCCAAGCGTGATGCAATCCCAGAGCACTGAGTAAAAATAGAATGTCAATGTTGTTTTTCTTTCTGTTGTGCAGGTGGATGTGATGTCTCCCAGGGACAGGTGGGTTTGTGATCAGTGCCACAGTGTCCCAAGCTCCTTGTGCGTCACAATGTGGGGGGGGGCCAGTCCTGGGTTTGACCCTATCCCCTTGTCCACTCTAGAACCCACCCCATCTCCCTGCCTTATCCTGCTTTCCTGGTGGGGGAGCCAGCTTTGTCCCTGAGGTGGTAGCTATCTGGCTGCTGCCTATGGGGGTGGGTAGGGCTTGAACCCACCACCCTGAGGCTACAAGGGTAAGTGCCCTATTTCTTAGGCCACTCCAGAACCCAGCCTAGCCTACTACCTTCAGGGCATCCCTTATCCTGCCTTCCTAATGTGGGAGCCAGTTCCATCTCTGAGACAACTAGTGTCGGCTGTCTAGCTGCTCCCAGGGTGGGCGGGACTCAACCCCCCTCTCCCTCTTTTCCCTTCCCCCGTGCACTCTGTTCCCCATTGACATGGGGGCTGTGTCTAAACTGGCAACTTTTTCCTCAAAAGCAGCTGCTTTTGCGGAAAAACTTGCCAGCTGTCTATACTGGCCACTTGAATTTCCGCAAGAACACTGACGATCTCATGTAAGAAATCAGTGCTTCTTGCGGAAATACTATGCTGCTCCCATTCGGGCAAAAGCCCTTGTAGACAGCTCAGATTTGTTTTGTGCAAAAAAGCTCCGATTGCGAAAATGGTGATCGGGGCTTTTTTGTGCAAAAAAGTGCTTTTGCGGAAAAGGGTCCATGCCAATCTAGACGCTCTTTTCCGCAAATGCTTTTAACGGAAAAGTTTTCCATTAAAAGTATTTGTGGAAAATCATGCCAGTCTAGACGTAGCCGGGGTGTTTAACTTTTGACCAGAGTCATTTCAATTCAGTGGTAAAGGTGGAGAATGAAAGGTAAGGAAGAGAAATAAGACACATTAAGAATGGCCTCTGCCATTTGGAATTGTTTCTCCTGATAACTCTTTATGTCCCCATATGTTCACTGGGACAGAAGTTCCAAGGCCCTTCCCTTCCCTTCCCTTCCCTTCCCTTCCCTTCCCTCTGGTGACAACCAGTGTTGGTGTGATGATGGCAGTGAATGATGACAGGAAATGTTGTGTTTATGTCGAAAGAGTCAATGTCTCCAAACCCATCAGTGGAATCTGGAGAGAGAAGGAAGGACAGTCTCTCCCCTGGTGGGAAGGTGGCCTTGCAATTTGAGTTACGAGGACATGAAGGTAAGACAGGGGCCCCTGCTCCTGTGAAACCATATCACTGTACTTTAGTTTCATCTATAGATTCATTAAGACCTGGCCATCGAGTTGCAGTGTCTGTGTAACTGACCCAGTTCAGCTCCCCTGTGTCCCATGTGTTCTCCATTGAGGGGAAATGCTGTTCCCCTGTCCCTTCCAAAGAGCTATAGGCCACCTCTCCACTCCTGACTCTTCCTCTTGGTGGTCAGCATGCTTGATCCTTCTCTCTGAATCTCCCAGCAGGAACGCCCCACTTAGTTGCTGCACCTCCTATTCAAGTTGCCCTAATGGAAACCATGTTTCTGAGCAGAGAAAGTGCAGAGCAGACTCCCCATGGGGGCAGAGGGAGGGTCAGACAGCTGGACACTAACTGCCCCGTTGCTCTGAGAAGAGCCTCTAAGCAGGCCCTGATGCTTCGTGACAACCTCGAGGGTAGGCAGGATGATCATTTATATATGAGAGGATCCTAGTTACCGACAGGCTGCCTTCAGGCCAGAAATGTCTGATTTGTTAGCTTCTCTGCCACTTTCTTCTCACCTAGTGTTCATGTCTCTACTGCAGCTCAGGAAGTTAATGCCAGCATGTCCCAAGCTGAGCTCCCATGCAGTCATCCACCTGGAATGTCCACAGATTGTAGAACCATAATCTATGGAAGCTGGGGAAAGTTGGGGCATTTGATGTGCTGTGAGTGTGTGCAGGACTCCCCACCCATAAGCAGCCCACATCTGATGCCAGTGGAGTCACCCAGTAATTCCAGGGAGTCAGCTCTCAGGAGGTATGTCTACACTACCACCCTAGTTCGAACTAGGGTGGTTAATGTAGGCAACCGAAGTTGCAAATGAAGCCCGGGATTTAAATATCCCGTGCTTCATTTGCATATTGCCAGGCGCCGCCATTTTTAAAGCCCCGGTAGTTCGGACTCCGTGCCCGCAGCTACATGCGGCACGGAGTAGGTAGTTCGGGTTAGGCTCTCTAATCCGAACTATCGTTACTCCTCATGGAACGAGGTGTACCAGCAGTTCGGATTAGAGAGCCTAATCCGAACTACCTACTCTGTGCCGCGGGTAGCCGCGGGCACGGAGTCCGAACTACCGGGGCTTTAAAAATGGCAGCACCTGGCAATATGCAAATGAAGCGCGGGATATTTAAATCCTGGGCTTCATTTGCAACTTTGGTTGCCTACATTAACCACCCTAGTTCGAACTAGGGTGGTAGTGTAGACATACCCAGGGAGAGCATGAGGTTGTGGCCTGGGGAATTTTATAAAGCGAAGACAATTGTAGGATGCTTGTTATGGGGATTGTTGTTTTTGGCACCTGGTCAGAGGTTGGGAGCCACAAGAGAGACTGCTCTAGGCGAGAGCAATGGAGATAAATAACCCAGCTATTCATGTCAATCGCAGAGAGAGTCTCAGAGGAACGGAAAGAGGCTTCAACTTGTGTCCGTAAAGAGGCTGAAAACCCTGTGCTTAGGAGAAACTATGGCTCTCCGCATCACAAGCTGGTATGTCATGTGTCCCTTCCAACTACTCTGGGGAGGTCAGTTATCCTAATGGCCCCATACCCAAGTCTCTCCTCTGATTCATAAGCAGAGGCCAACATTTACTGCTAGGCATTTGCACAGCCAGCCCAGCTTCTTATGAGGGAGGAGAGTGAAAGAATGGGAAAAAAGTCCCTATGGGTCCGAACACAATTCAACATCCTGAGGCTGCCTGAGCCTTGTCAGTCAAAGGGCTCAGCTCCAGCAGCCTACACTGAGTGGAAACTCTTAAATTATAAATGGCAGAGAGGTCCCGAGAAACACAAAGTGCAGGGGACAGCAGGGGTTGGAGAAAGGAGGGGGCACATCTGAAAAAAGCAGTCGGCAAGACAGCCAGAGTTCAGAACAGAGTGGTGTTCTGCCACAGGGCCTCATCCTTCCCAGATGTTCATTTCTGCTGAGTTCTCTAAGGTCAGCTTGCCCAGGAAAAGGAGAGGAAACTGTTGGCTGTTTTTCATGTTTTGCTAAAGTCAGTATGCTCTCCCGTGTGTGTATTATGGGATTGGGAGCTCCTTGGGGCAGAGGCTGTTCCTGCTGTTTGGAGATTTCCTAGCATAGCTTGAGCACAACTGGCCACAAACAAACACAAATAAGAAGATTATAGGGAGAGCTAGTAGAGCCCTTATCAGGTAGGTCTGTGGTCACCAACCAGTCGATCGTGATGAATTCATTGATCACAGGGGCACAGCCACTCGATAGCAAGGAGGTGTTCCCAGCCCTCCCTTGCTCCCCACCACCTCCAACGAGGAACCCACACTGGCGCTACAGTCTCCCGCAAAAATAGAGCTAGCTCCAGCTTCCTGTTGTGTATGGGGAAGTCCCATGGCTCTGGGCCAGATCTGACTTCTCGGGAAGCACACGCTGTTGTGGGGAGAGCAGGAGCAGCAGGTGCACTTCCTGAGAAGCTGGATCTGGCACAGAGCTTCAGGACTTGGTGGCTCCCAGGAAGGGGCTAGAATCCGCAACCCTGTAGGAAGGAAGATAGGCAGCATGGAGAAGGAAGGGAAGACAAGAAAGTGCACACTCCTCTCCTGCCCACAACAGTGCGTGCTTTCTTGTCTTCCCTTCCTTCCCTGTGCTCCAGGAAGGCGGGGGTGGGGGTACAGTAGTTAAGATGGCGATGCAAGATCTGTAGTGCCTGGATTCTTAAAGGAGCCATTCATCCACTTCTTCCAGTGCTGCCTGAAGATCCAGCCTCAGAGATCCTTGACCCTGGAGACCCCTAGGTACCAGCTGAGCTGCTCCTGCCCCGTCCGCCTTAGCCAGACCCCCACCAGCACCCTGTCACCTGCCCCCTGGCCTGATCACCACCAGTGCTCTGACCCTGACCCCTCCTTCCTGGCCAGACAGCTACCCCCAGCTTGCTCCTGTACCCTGTTTCCCACCCAGATTCTGCACCCCCGTCCCACTCACTGGCAGTCCTGCCCACACACTGGATCCCTCATTTTTAGCCCCACCTCAGAGTGTAGAGGGATCCACAAAATCCACTAACCCTGGAACCCTAGAAGAGTTAATCTGACCTGAGGCCTTGACCTCAGTCCTATCTACCCCACCCCGATGGGGCTAGAGTGCCAGGGCTGTGAGGTGTCTCAGCTGGGGCCACATTAGTGAGGCTTGTGGGAGGGAAAGTTGGAGGGCTTGTTTTTTTTGCATATCACTTGTGTGTTCCCTGACTGATTTTTCTGTAGGTCAGTGGCCCCTGACCCAAAACAGATTTCCCGCCCCTGCCATAAGTAAAGACAATGCTGAAACATTTTGTGTTGGACATAATATTTGATTTAAAAATGAAACTTTAACAAGCCCCCAATTGGGGCCAAGCCCGCATCTGGCCACAGTGTCATAACACTCCTGCACCCCCACAGACCCCAAACTTGAGCCCATCATACACCGGAACCCCCTATCCTGAGCCTCTCACATCCCCAAAGTCCTGCACCCCCATATCTCCAAGTCTTCTGCCACAACACTCCTGCACCATCCACATACCATAAACCTAAGCACCTGATACACCCCAACCCAAGCTCCTATACCCCCACATCCTCAAGCCTGTGGCTTGATCAGCACCCCAACCCTCCACCTAACCCCAACACTCTCCGGCCTGGAGCCCACCTCCCTGAGCCAGCATCCCCTTCTCCTGCACTCAAATTCCCTCACAGACCTTGCACCTCTCACTTCTTCCCGCTCCCAAATTCCCCGATCCCACCCCAGAGCCTGCACCTCCTGTCTCAATCCAGTGAGAGTGAGTAAGGGCTGAAGACAGCAAATGATGGAGAGGAGGGGAACGGAGAAGGTGGGGCCTCAAGGAAGTGGTGGGCTCTTGGGGCAGGGATGGGGTAGATCTTGGCTTGCCCTGACATTTAAAATGTGATCCTGGGTGTAAAAAGGTTGGAGACCACTGAGGTAGGTCATTGAATACCTGCCATTCTAAAAAGTTCCTCTGACCTATCTTTAAAATTAAATAGTTCCTCACTTTTTGCTACCAGCCTTTCCTATTTGACAGGGAATCTCCCTCAGGCTGGAGAAGTGTTTTTTTGGTGAATACTTTTTGCAGTTCAGATGGTGAAATATCCCCAGACTGGCATACAGAGCCATCCTGCAAAGGAAAATCTGATGTGGTTGTCTTTCTATTTCCTTGCTAGGCAGATGCGACATTCTTGAGTGGCAGGTGGGTTGTTTCTCTAACAATTATGTCTCTGGGGCTGTAATTTGAAAGGTTCCTTTCCCCTTCCCTTTCCTGGGATCAGTGTGTCCCTGAATGAAAGAAACAGTAAGTGATGACAGAAAAGACTGTGTTTAGGCTTCAGGGTCTGACAGCTGTGAAAGATGCCATGGAGTCTCAAAGGAGAAGGAAGGACAACGTCTCCCCTGGAAAGAATGTGGTCCTGCAGCCTGAGTTCCAGGGATATGAAGGTAAAGTATGGGGATCCTGCCATCTGATGTCGTTGGGTCCCCTTTGTGCTCTCTTTCACTGACATACTCAAAGCAATTTGATAGATTCACAGGACACAGGTTTCCTTTCCAGCTCTGCTAGTCAGAGCTTCTCCTATCACAGGGGTCAGGAAACCTTTTTGGGGGAATCAGGGGCCACTTACCCACATAAAAATCGATCAGGGGCTGCACAGAAATGAGAAGCCAAAAAAAAAAAAAAACCAACCCTCACTGTGGCTACCAGTTGAGAAGGAGAAAGACACTCCCCACATTGCCCTCACACACGAGAGCCTGGGGTGGGCCCAGGCTAGTAGATTTTGTGTCCTCCAGTCCTACGGTGGGACAGTGGGAGAGCTGGAGTGCTATTGTAGACTCCCCAGTACAGGGAGGCCCCTGGCTTGAGGTTTATTCACCCCTGTCTTATCAGCACCATATGGCTGGCTTAGAATTCTATTTGTATATGTCTACACAGCAGGGCAAAACTCAAATGAAGCTACACAACTTCAGCAACGTCAATTGCGTAGCTGAAGTCAAAATAGCTTATTTCAGCTTTTGGCGCTGTCTACACAGCAAGAAGTCAAAGGAAGAGCGCGCTCCCTTCGCCTTCCCTTATTCCTCATAAAATGAGGGTTACAGGAGTTGGAGTAACAAGTCCTCCCACTAAACATTTTGAAATAAAGGCTTGCTGTGTAGACGTGCGCTGTGTTATCTTGGAGTAATGTCGGTTATTCTGTAATAATGCTGCTGTGTAGACATGCCCTTTATTTGCTGTTTCAACTAGTTTGCCAGGCACTGATGCAAGGCTCACTGGGCTGTTGTTCTCAGGGTTCATTCTTCCTAAGGCACAACATTCCCAGCACTTGATTCTCCAGCATAGTAGCTGGTTTTAAACAGAGGTGATTGTTACTGAGAGCAGCTCAGCCATATCACTCCCCATCATGTCAGAACTCCTGGGCATATACCATGTGTCAGGGGTCTCCTCCGCTATTGGTGGCCCTTGGCTCTTTCACTTACCATCTTGCTGCAGCGTCTCCTCTTCACACTCACTCCCTGGTCTTTATTTCCTGAACAGAGCAACTCCAGGGCAGGTCTCTCCCCCAACACACTGGTGAGAAAGCAGTGTTTCTCAGCAGTGGCAGATATAGGGCAGGGCAAGCGGGGCAGCTGCCCCAGGCCCCAAGCTTCAATAGGCCCTGCACCGAGCCACCACACGGGAGCAAGCGGCGGTGCAACCAGCCATTTGGGCCCCGTGCTCCCTGTGCAGCATGAGGGTGCAGCACGGAGCCCAAACGCCTGCTTGAGCTGCTTGATCCCGCACGGCGGCCTGGCTGAGCGGCACAGAACTCAGCCAAGCACCACGGTGGGAGGCAAAGGGCGTGACAGAGGCTTCAGGTCCCACCTCCTGGCCATGTACATCACCGCCTCACCTCCCACCGTGGCACTCAGCTGAGTTCTGCGCCGCTCAGCCAGGCCGCCGCACGGGAGCAAGCAGCACAAACGGCCGTTTGGGCTCCGCGAGTGAGAGGCAGGAGGGGGAGGAGAAGAGAAAGAGAGAGTGCGAGGCGGCAGGAGGAAGAGGAGAAGAGAAAGAGAGCGAGAGGCAGGAGGTGGAGAAGAGAAATGACTCTAGAATACACCCTTAATCGTACTGCAATGCATATGCACAGTGCAAAAAGTTCAGAAAGGTGTTTTGGACTTTGACATTACCTGCTCTTTCTGGGTTTACTTTTGAACATTAATATTATCTGAATGCAGTTTCCTGTGCTTGTATTATATACACTTTAATAATGCAGGATTCATGAGAAAGCACATTTAATAGTGATATGTGAAACATGTGTAATGAAGTAATGTGAATATGCAATGGGCGACAGATTGAAACTGATTTGCGCACGCTCTACTACCTGTCGGCTGTGGCAGTGATGCATGCGCCATGTTACTCACTCCGTTTTTTACAGATAAATAACAATTTTATAAGTGTAAATTCGCTGACAACCCTAAATTATAAAATGACTAGCAGAGCGAGAGATGCAGGTAGAAAATGTAGAAGAATGTAATCTCAGTCTAAAAGGTACAATGGAAAAATTGAAACTAATAAAGAATTACTTAAGATTTACTACGAGCCAGGAGCTTTTTGTGTAGGTCTTTCGATTGTATCGATTGAAAAAGACCTGTGTAAAGAAATGGACTTTAATGACATAATTGAAGAATGTGCTGCCAAAAGAGCTAGACAGCTATAATAGACTTAAATACAAATGAATTTTTTTAATTATTAATGCAGAATTTTGTTTAAGAATGACTTACAATATAATTAAAATAAAAATTATCCAACTAAATTAAGTTTCTATCAAATTTACCCAATTCACATTTAATATGAAAATGGCTTTCAATTTGACATTTGACACTTTTTTTCTATTTTTTCTCCAAAGGGGGGCCCCCACAAAATTGTGCTGCTCTGGGCCCCGCAAAACTCTCACCTGCCCCTGTTTTTCAGCATCTTCCTTTTCTCTACTCAGTGACCCCTTCCACCTCCTCATCTGATCTGAGGAAGTGGGTCTGGCCCACGAAAGCTCATCATCTAATAAACCATCTTGTTAGTCTTTAAAGTGCTACATTGTCCTGCATTTTGCTTCACCCTTCCACCTCCTCATCCTTCCTTTTCCCCTACCCCAGTCTCACAAGCTTCCTCATTTGGATAGAGTGAAATTCCTGTGTTTGTTTTATATCTCTGGCCATCTATTCTGCTAATTAAAATTGTAGCTTATCAATTCCCATCATACACATCACCCAGAGTACTTGTGCTTCACAGGGTTAATATTTTGCTGAAAGATCCCTGTTTGGCTTTGACTACTTCTTGCTCCTGGCTAGGTGGCTTAGTGGGGCTACTGCAGTTCTCCCTTTCACTATTCCTTTGTCGCCCTGGAGGTGCTAGGCTCTGGTCTCTGAGGTAGCCTCCAGGCCAAGTCTAAGGACTGTAATTTCCCTGTTTTATGGTCTTCTTGACTCTGTGATGGAGTGTGGCAAACCTTCAACCCAGGGAAGATCTTTTATTTCTCTGGGGTGCCTGACTATTCTCTTGGGTGTGTCATGCCAACCAAAGACAAAAGGAAAGCTCGCTTCCCATTTTTCTATAGATTTCACTGTGAGTGGGAACTTGTTCTCTCTCCCACCTTCCATGGAAAATTACCTGGTCAGACCTTCCCGGTTAGGGGGTCATGTGCCATCTTAAGAGGAACCACAGCTGAGACTTAAAGGACAAAATAGGCTGTAATCAAGTTGTTAAGTTGATCACCCAGTCATTGAGGTGTCTGAACATTGGAAACACCCTCAATGTCTTTCATTTGCACATTGAAAATCATAAAGCATCCCATCCCCCATATCTCTAACTTTACACACAAGAATGATACATGCACCAAAAAAGATATACAGAGCCAGCTGATTGTGCCATTAAAATTGGTAGGTCACATGAGGTAAATTGTCCAAAGCATCTTTGAGTTCTGCATATTTGTATCCGTAAGTCAACTGCATAAACCAGAGGGGGGGGGGAGGAAGGGAGTAGGAACCGTCACAGACTCGCTTCCCTTCTGCAAGATAACATGACACTGAGTTTCTCTGAGTTTCACTTTCTGACAAACTCCAGGTGGCACTGAGTAAGTTCCATTCCCCGCAGTACAACCCTTGTGTGCGTGCATGTGTGCGCATGTGCATGTGTGTGCGTGCGTGTGGCATTGTCTCCTGCTGAGTGTCTGTGCTCAGGGGCATTCTCATCCCACTCTCTGTGTTTGGTTGCAGGGTGGAGACGCGCCCAGCTCTATGCAGGTACTGTACATGCCTGGTATTTGATCTTTGAGACCCACCACCCCCTCCTTGCCCTGCACAGAGCATGTGAAACTCAACGGGCTAGAAACAGCAGTGTCACGGGGGGAGAAGGAGGGTATGTCTACACTGCCACCCTAGTTCAAACTAGGGTGGCTAATGTAGGCATTCGAAGTTGCAAATGAAGCCCGGGATTTAAATATCCAGGGCTTCATTTGCATCTTGCTGGGCGCCGCCATTTTTAAATCCCCCTTAGTGCGGACTCCGTGCCCACGGCTACACGCAGCATGGAGTAGGTAGTTCGAATTAGGCTCTCTAATTCGAACTACCGGTACACCTCGTTCCACGAGGAGTAACGGTAGTTCGAATTAGAGAGCCTAATTCAAACTACCTACTCTGTGCC